AAAAATCGTCTTTAACTTACCAGTATGGAACAAATAATTGGAAGTGCCGAATAAATTCGACGAATCTAATAATTTGATACAATATTTCAAGTCTTCTGTTACAATAGAAGGCATTGTATACTCCGGAGTCACGAATGCACTGAACATCTGACCAATGAAACTCAAACTAAAGCTAAATTGATRTGGGTATATCAAAGAAAACGTTATGATCATCCCGTAAGCCTTATCGTAACAAGCTCCGGCCAAGACGACCATCGCGGTCGTTATAAACGTAAACAGTGCTTCTTCTAATGGCAAACCATTGGCCACGGATACGTTTAAGCTGGTCGAATAATTCAAATGCCACACGTCCTCCTTCAGGGCCAATCGATTGATCCATAGAAGGTATATAGTCGGCACGACGATCGCAAAAGACGACGGTATTAAATGGTTCACGAAATAGTTGCCGGCACCGTACCACATGAGCATTATCACRGGAGAAGCCCAAAACATTATACTTCCCAGGTAAAACGTATCTCGTCCCGGGATTGCCATTCCATATCCTATGGCCGTAGTGATGCTGAGTAATAGGATCGGAATCCATCGGATCATTTGGTAACTTTCTTTGTCGTGGTTGAAGTTCATACATGGGGGCTTCCACCGGACGCAGAGGTAGGTCCACAACGAAACAAGAACGACTTGCAGGACAACGGAAATGTACTCGTCGACGGGGACATTTCCTGTAGTGGTAGAAATTTTTTCGGGAGAATACGTCCGAGCTCCGTTGAGGATACAGTAATTGTAACAAAGCGATGTATAGAGTAGGGCTACGGAGCTTATGAACGCGATTTTGGTTGATTCCATGCGGCACATAAATGGCCGGGTGATCAACGCTAATGCACCGATTATTGGAAGTGTGTACTTTAAATTTATGTCCATGTAGGTCAACATTGTTCTGCTTGTGGGAACTGAAAAACAACAAGTATAATGTATAAATATACATTGGTGAATCCGATGCCAATTATAGCACTGAAATGTATGAAAAATATAATACGTATTATTATTATTATATACTACGCTTTTTTATAATTATAATATTAATATACTATATAACTCTTTAAAAAAAACATTTTTTATAATTTTTCAATATTTAATCTTAAAACAAAAAAATTTTGTCCGAGTTTACAGTACATAAAGGTTTTTGGTTTAGTGTACCTATAAAATTATACTTAGGTGGTGATATTAAGAAGTAGTTGTAATTATCAATAAGTTTTTCTCAGTTTATGAAAATTGCTGTTTTTTTTACTTTTGTCTCCCAATGTACCAACTACATTTACTTTTGTAGCATAAAAGATATTGAAGTTGAAAAACGAAGCATTTTTCTACTACAATTTTTTTTCTATACAGCCACAAAAAAAGAATCATATAGGTACTTTATTTTAAAACCAATACAGTGAAAATATACCACATTTTAAAAGATAATAAGTTCAGACATTAAGTGATTTACTGGGACAAATGTGAAATGATYAAATAAATATATTATATTTTCTTTAATTTATTTATAATTTGTTTTACGTGTAACTTTTCAGACATTAACAATTTTACTTTTCTCTTTTGTTTATTTAAGTGAGGCAAAAATATAAAGGTAAATAAATAATAAATTATATAAAATAATAAATAATAAAATGTTTTACATCAATTAAAAATCGTATAAATAACTTATATATGTTAACAATGATGTATCGCAGGAATGGTAAGAATATAGGTCCGTGGTACAAATAGTTTTTATTATTTCTAAATATTTTGAAAATTGCAGTGTTCATAGAAAATAATAAGTATTAACATACGAAATTTTGAAAAAGTTACCTATTTATGTATATTATATATATTATATATTTTAAATTGCAGCAAATTACTTTAAATCTTTACTGTTAAAACTCGTTATTGGTAGGTAATAAGTTTTTTTACTCTCAAATAAATTAAGTTTTTGGATGATAATATATGTATATTAATCTAAAAAAAATTAAATGTTTTTTTTTTAATATATCACAAAAATATCTGAAATATATTGATAATTATATCATGATTAGAAAATGATATCATAAATATTTTGTAAAAAATCAACCTAGKGTCCTTGATCGATTTTACGAGAACAACTGCGGTTATGTGTAAATATTCTAAGTTTCATTTTTGTTTTTCCTGATCATATTGACACGAATTAAATTTTTTAATTAAATAGTTTACAATAGTATATTTACTCTAATTAAATATTACAGTATTAATATTTAATTTAATTTAGTTTTTAATTTTTATGATTTTTACTTAACCCTCAAAAGAACCAAGATGCCATTTTCTTGGTTAAAAATTAAATAATTTTTTTTTACATTACAAGGAGTCTTCAGTTATATAAAAAAAATTCAACCAGCAATAACATAATAAATTAGTATTTATCGCTTCACTTAAAATCTTAAAACATAAGCTACTATAATAATGTATAGGTACTTCACATATTGACTTCTTATTGCTTTATATTTATATCTACTTACTTTAAATTACTATAAATTTAATATTACACTATGTAGTACAGATATTGACTTACATGATACTTATGTTATATAAATGTAGATTGAGTGAATTTGAATGGAAGCACTTAAATACAATTTACATTAAGTATTAAACTGAATTATTTAATAACAAAACAATGATAACTAGTGTTAACTACTTGAAGTTACTATTCAGTATATGAATGGAACGTACTAAAAATGTATTATTTAAATAAAATTTACAAATGGAGGGGAATAATTAAGGAATATTCAAGTTATCAAAATCGTGATTATAAATTTTATTTTATAAACACAGAAAATGTATTTAAACTTATTAATCTTTTAAAATTCATYCATCTAAAGAGCAWAGGTGAATTTAACTAACATAAATTGTTATATTGACACAGTTCAAATAGGTGAATAAGAACGTACCGGATACAGAGATTTAATTATAATTACGGATATCCTACCATTTTTTTTTTTAATATAAATCATTTTTGGTATTGCACTATTGGGTACGATGTTTTTACTTCAATATGTATGATAACTTATAATACGTCTAAGTTATATATTATGTAGGCTAGGTTTTTTAAAAATTCAAAAACTATAATTATCAAAAATATTTATACAATATTCTTACACATTATAATCATAATCGATGAACTTTTTGGAATTTTTATTGTTATTATTTTAAGTGCTTTACTTTTTTAATGAAAATATGAATTTTTTATTTTATTTTTTGAAACAAAATGTTATTTGGAGTAATTCCACCCATAAGGACCCAATTTTAATGTTTGGTATTTAATGTTTAGAGGACCGTAGAAGTGGACAAACATTTTGCGATGTACCTTTGTACCACTTCCCTCTACTCATAGCTATTTTCATTACTTATATTTAGAGCTAGGATTTATATGCATTGGTATATTTTTTTTGCAACTTCTCATCATTTATTTTGTAAGTAAAATCCACGAATTAGGTCTTGCTGAGGTAAATGGTGGTATTTTTATTTGTCGTATTTTTGCATATTTTGAACAAAATTAAAATTTTTATACATTTTGACTACAAAAACACAACAAGTGCATTTTTTATAGTATATTTCATAACAATTCATTTCATCGCAGTACAAAAATATCGAAATATAATTTTATTTTATCTTATCTTACTGTTACATACTCGTACGCTTACTGGATAAAAGCATACAGGCATACAGCTAAAAGTTAATTTGTGTTTTGACAGTCATCGTATATCGTGTATAGTGATACGTTGCCGTGTTGTTTGCAAACTGTATCGGTTTCGTTACGAACTTACCTGCATTCAATTATAAAATACCAAAAATACAAAGTACCAGTGCAAAACTTCGACAATAAGTCGAAGAGTTTACTAGTACAGTTTTTAAAACCGATGGTAAAACACTATTTTGCAGTATTTKTGACCAGGTAGTACATACCTAACATCAAATAAGCGCTCTCAAGAACTCAGCATTTAAGTACAGCAAAAACCTCAGTAATTCAACAAGAAAAGAAAAAAAGAAAACAAATATTTATTAAAGACTCATTTGAAGATCAGAATTCAGAATTTTCGCTCGATTTATGTCGTGCATTTTTAGCTTCTGATATCCCATTATGGAAATTGAATAATACAACTTTTAGTCGTATTTATTGACTTGTGAGGAACTTCCAAAGTGACATTATCAAACAGTAGGGAAATTATTTCACGATGCTTTAAATATACTTTGGCCCAATGACATTAAATATAATAAAGTTTTTTTTATTTTTAACTGATTTTATATCAATTAATATTTTAGAGATTTTAAGATTTTAGAATTTTTTTAATGTTTTTATATTTTAAGTTTTAACATATTTATTTTTTATTAATTGGTATTTAAAAAAAATATATAGAAAATGTGTTTTTTAAATAATATTTATTTGGTTTATTTATGCATATTTTTATTCCATATTTTTAATAAACCAAATGCATATTTAATCATTTATTATTCTATTCGTTATATTATATACGAAGGCATATTAAAAAATATAAGGTAGACCTTACTACGAAATATTTAAAACTATATAGTTTATATAGTTTTGCTGGTACCTAATTCGTTCCCGAGCCTAAATCCCACATTCCGAATTGGTGCCCGTTTAATTATGCACATTTTTCTAAGTTTCTAATTTATTTAAGTCAAGTAGTTTATTTTTTAGATTTTTTTCTAAAATTCATTYAATTTTTTTTTGGTTAAATTAGTTTAGAATATTATGTTATTATATAGTAGTTATATCTATTACTAATAACTTTTTTTTAAATATGATTTTTGAGAATTTTCTGACATGAGTATATTTCTTAAATTATTTATTTATCATATACCTAATACTAACAATTTTCGTCATATATTTAATTAGCATTTTTTCACTTTTTTTTGTCAGGTCTTTCTGTTACACCCTGCACGTGGTGTATGTATATATATTATACAATGCAGGTATTATTGGAATAACTATCAATTTATCATAGTTTTATATTCACTTAGTAAAATCTATCATCCTTTGAATTACTCTACAGTAGTAGGTAGCTATAAACTATTTAARACTATAGAATTATAGAAAAAAGTGACTGAATAAACTTCACGTCCATTTTCTTAGTGTTCAATGACAGAAGGAGTTTTAACTATAGGCATGTTACAACTGTATAGATAATATAATACAATATCATAATTATAACATGCATTATATTTAACAATGAAACGTGTTATTAWACTATTTCAAAAAATGTATAYTATAATTAATAATGATTATTAATGGTTAAAATTATAATTTAAGTGTTTAAACATTTTATATACAACTGGTGTTTTATATTAATTCATTGAAATTTATAATTTCTCTACACTATATTTATACAATATACAATGCTATTTTATAGTCAAAATATGTATATTATACTATTTATACTCAAAACAAGTACCTATGTTAAGACCAATTATATACTTTTGAATCCACTTAAAAAATGTATTGGATGCTTTTAATATAAAGGGTATTGAGTACAATTAATAATTTACTCAATTTTGGTAACGACGCTCTGGTTGGGTAAGTTGGACACGATTGTATCGCCTTAATCAGCCCTCGGTACATTTCAGTAGATGCTAGAACTGAACCTATTAAATCTTGTGGCAAATATTTGATAGCGCCCACTGATTCAAATTGTTTTTTGTTAGCCAACTGTATCATTTTCGAAGAGTATTTTTTCAACTTTTTATTTCCCAAAGACCTGGGATTTTTTTCTTGGCATAAAATCCTTAAATCTTCTTTTTCGTCGTCCATGTATTCAGCTGGGAAATAGCATCGACCCAATAATTCGCTGTCGCTTACCAGATCCCGGGCAATATTCACTAGTTGTAAGCCCTTTAAAAATAAAATAAATAGGTATATTGAGTAGGTCCAAATCAGTACCCGCAGCAGAATAGAAACTTATTTTTAGTTAGTCTAAATATTTTAATGCATAATATTAAGTTGATAATAAGCACTAAGTAATAGTGTGACATTAGAAACGCTAAGATAGTGAGAAAGTCCAAAACCAAATAGTTTAATAATTAAATATTAAACGAATTAATAATTTTAAAATTATATTATTATTGAATRAATAAATTATGTTACATCATTCTATCAGATAGATAAAGCAACGAAATGTAAGTCACGCAATGCCTTTATTACCTGTTGGCTGTTATATGAATAATAAATATTACTTATAATTACATAAGTATATTAAGGACATAACACTTCAAAGCAGTAAATAATATGATAATAGAATACGTCATAAGAGTAATAATAAATCTTAAGATTAGGATAAGTCTAACGAAGAAAATTTATATTTTATGCGATAAAAACTGACTGCAGTGGCAGATGAAAGTAGGAGTGAAAAATTAAGTACAAATTATGGGCAACTTTTTTAAGCCATCAGTTTTTTGAAGTCGGTCGTGTGTGTCCGCCRGATGACCGGAAATGACAATAATCCCGCTTATGTTTGCATCCGAATTGTGTTTCAAAAAGAGCAATGCTGTTCGACAACTACAGAATTATGTACGCGTATTGTTCGTGACAGTTATTCAAATTGCGTGCATAAAAGTTTGAACAAACGACCGGTTTTTGCCAACGTGCTCACAATATATTATGTCGTATAAACGTACGAGTATTGTAAATATAACTACAAAAAATTCTAATTAGGTACCATAATGTGTGTTTTATTAATGCTATTAGCTTACGGTTACGGTGGGTGGCGATTAGACATTATTATGATTTTAATTTGAGAAATATATTATATAGATGATGTTCAACGATGTTGGTCACTAATCACTGATCAATATAAAATAATATAATATAAAATAATTGATCGTATCCACCATKATAGCGTATGTGTTAGCGCTATATCACTTATTTAAAATAATTTCAAATTTTCAATAGTTCTTCCGCRATATTGAATTGTATGATTATTAGTTACCCACATAACTACACCTAAGCAATTGTTAAACGTGCGTTATTTATTAAAGAATAATATTGCGTATCTAAAACTTATAAATATAATATTAAAATCTACGTTAGACAAAACTACATAATATGTCGCCTTTATGCTTGGGATTAGGTACACTAAAAAAGATGATAAACAGTCTAAACTTGAGGAAAATAACTAAGTATTCGATATTTCAATATAGTAGTAATAGTTAGAAATCAGATTTTGATGACTTTTGTATCTTTTTTGGGACATCATCATAGATGATATTTTCCTAGTTTAAAAAGTGTTTCAATAATATATGATTCGAAATAACTAGATAATTTTCATTTTGCGTTTGTTTTACATTTTTATTGAGTTATTCATCTATATGGAAATATTTACATTTTTCAACGACTGAGAGAAAATTATGGATTATTATTCTTCATTATTATATTTATTTTTTTATTTTCCAGCAATTGAAAAAAACAATTATTTTAATATTTATTTTGTTAATATCTGTGATATATCGATAACGAAGACTATAATAACAACATACCTAGGTTATGGGTGCCTATTTTTTATCGCGACCAATAATAATCTGAGTTGGCATTATCTGAAAATTATTTTTATAATCGTGTGAATATCTAGTCATCTAATATATTACCTAAATCCCGTGTAATAATTATATTATTTA